GGAATATTTTTGGACACCTCTCCTACTACTAGTTTGCAGATCAAGCAATGGATCGATCGTGATCCTGAGCTATCAAAAGTTCGTGACTGGATATTGTCTGCGTGGCCTGAGAAGGAGGTTACTGATGAGGGATATGTACCATATTGGAGGAGAAGGTATGAATTGAATGTGGAGGAAGGGTGTGTGTTGTGGGGGAATCGTGTTGTAATCCCTAAGAGAGGGAGGGAAACAGTGATTAAGATGTTGCATGAGGGCCACACAGGGATTGTACGTATGAAGAGTTTTACCCGTAGTTATGTGTGGTGGCCTGGAATAGATGCTGAGTTAGAGCAGTGTGTGAAATCATGTGTCTCATGTCAGATTCAAAGGAAATCACCGCCTGTAGTACCTTTGCATCCATGGGCGTGGCCAGAGAGAGCTTGGTCAAGAGTCCATATAGACTATGCAGGTCCTTTTGAAGGGAAGTCTTTTCTGGTTATGATAGATGCATATTCTAAATGGATGGAAGTCCATATTACAAATCCTACAACTACAGCAGCAACAATAGAATTAATGAGGAAATCTTTTGCTACCTTGGGATTGCCTGATGTAGTAGTCTCAGATAATGCAGCTAATTTTACTAGTCTGGAATTTAGTACGTTTTTGAAGAGAAATGGGATTAGACATGTAAGGACACCTCCATACCATCCGTCATCAAATGGTATAGCTGAGAGGGCGGTACAGACACTGAAAGATGGTCTGAGAAAGATTAAGGGAGGATCTTTAGAGACTCGCTTATCTAGGTTTCTGTTCAAGTACAGAATCACTCCTCATAGTGTTACTGGGATATCTCCTGGTGAGATAATTTTTGGTCGACGTCTACATTCTCACTTGGATCATTTAAGACCAAACATGGAGAAGAAAGCTAATTTGAATAATGACCGTCAAAAGCAGTGGTATGATGTCCATGCTAAACAGAGATTGTTTAAGATAGGGGACTTGGTCTACATAAGGAACTATGCAACAGGACCTCAATGGCTTCCTGGAAAGATTATTGAATTGAATGGTAATGTTCTATTTACTGTATTGTTAGAGGATGGTCGTAGAGTAAGGAAACATACTGATCAAATTATTCAACGATATGAAAGATCCAATACTCAAGAGTCTAATGATGACTTCTCAGAGGATCCTATTGTGGTTAGTACTCCTAATCCATCACCTACAGTTAATGCTTCTCAATCTCCCCCTATTCAATTACCTTTAACTACTGAACCTGATCACTCTAGTCCTATTCAATCTCCCTCACTCTCCTCTCGTTCATCTACTCCGAATCGTTCGTCATCAACACCCGAGCCCGTAACCACATCTCTCACGAATCGTCCAGTACGACGTTCTACACGATCAAGACACTCACCAAAGAGGTATGGATCGCCTGTACGATATTGACTATATTAATAAATTGTGTATGCATATTGACTTTTGTTATTATTAATAGTAATAGCTTATTGTTATTATCCTTATTGATTTTTGTCTTAATAACTAAAGAGGGAGGAATGTTATGTTTACATTATGTACATACATACACACACAGTACATGTACTCATTATACTCATTATTATTCATTATTATTATTGTTCATTATTATTATTATTATTATTATTATTATTTTGGGGCCCTGCGCCAGCCGGTCTTTTGTTCTGTACAGTTTTATTGTGTGTACTTCTAGCACGTGTTTGTTAGTTGTCGAAGAGATTTTGTTTGTAAACTTTAAACTTTAGTCCCTTGTCTTATTAGCAAATTAGCAAGCGTGCAGTTTGTGTGTTGGACAATACTGATCCCTCATACACAACATACACTATACTAGCAAAGATGCTGTCAAGAATGGAAAGCTGGTGCATTGATTGCAGTAACACATTCTTAGGGGCAAGGGCGTAGCTAGCATAAGGCTAGGGTAGGCTATAGCCTACCCTGAAGTTCAGAAGTCAGAATTGAAGTTTAGTAGTTTACCTATATTGAATTTCTGCCTTAAGTCACTTATGACCAAAGGTTATAGAAGTTTAGGGTAGCTGTCTCAACTGGCAGTTACTCACTCAGTCACTTTTGACACAGGCAAACAGAGACAGGAGAAAGAAAAGAAAAACAGCCATTTTAGCACAATTATTATAATTTATTAAGGTGGAGTCTTTACATAATTAACTTAATTAATTAGCTAGCTTAATAAAATTATAAAAAGTTAACTTTAAGTGAAGCCATCACAATGTCAATTGCAAAGAAACAAAAGCTTTGTGAATTTTCAGGGCCGTAGCCAGGAACTTAAAACAGGGGGTTCGAAAATTGCTTCGCGCGAAGCGCGCAGCGAAAATTTTGACAAAAACGGGCGTGGTTAGTAGGCGTGGTCTTAATTTACGCATTTCAGTCATGTGCTGAGTCAGCTAAAATGGCTATCTGTGCTTCTCGCTGTTGCCAAAATGCTAATCCTGCTTTTGCAGTGCTGTTCTTCATGACAGGAGCTAATCTAAAACTTTTTTTGCAGCTACAACAGGGGGTTCGTCCGAACCCCCCGAACCCCCCCTGGCTACGGGCCTGATTTTTATGCAAATTTTAGTTGAGTATATTAGTAGTCAACCCCAGCCATATAGACTATTTGTACTGAAGTTGAGCATGAGGAGATTGAAGATGATGATCTTGTGAATGATGATTTTGTTGATTGTGCTGCTACCTTGAGTCTTGCCTGAGTCCTCATCTGAGTCTGAGTGTGAAGCAGTTACGAGAACCATAGATATTAGAGTAAATGAAACTCCATATTGCGAGAACATGCCCATTTTGCGGCCGTAAAAGTGGGCGTGGCCAAATCGCGGCGCGCTTCGCGAGCCGTTTTCTACTCATAGCCTACCCATTCCTTTTTTTTCTCCCTACGCCCTTGCTTAGGGGTGTGTGTGTGGGTTTGTACCCAACCCACATACACACCCTCATTAGTGTCTTCAGCTTTTCATTCTTGACAGGATCTTGCTCATGAGGTAATATTACTTGAGATATGTTGACTGGTGTGTGCTGGGATTCAGGAATTATAATACTTGCAGTCATACTGGTCTACTTGGATGGTCATACTTGGTTTACTGGGATCGACACAAATCGCATATGGAAGGA